ACCCTGTAGACTTGCTGTATTTAGGCCAAGGTTATGCTTGTGTTTTATCGCCAACAGGCCCTTTATGGATTCCGTCTAAATGGATTCGTCCGGTGAATCTCCCCTCTTCAGATGGACCCCGAAGCCAATGAGCAGGAGAAGAATCGACGGATTCGCATTTTGAACCCATTAATTGATAAGTTAAACAGACTGACTGCTTCAAACGTAGTTTTGTGTTTAGATAACATTGCTCTTATATGCCCAGTTCAAGGCTATCAGCATCTGTTTCTGCAACCGTCGAGTGAGCTACGTCGTGAACTCTCTCGACCCTGTCAACAGTGTTTTTAATGTGATCCAATTGTGACATTTCAGTGTGGTCGCTGTTGGCCTCTGCGTCGTAAAGCTTGCCGCCTACGACAGAGCTGGTTAAAACAGAACCCACTGTGTTTATAGTGCCGTGAATGGTTTTATCGCAACGGGAATCCCGTTGTAGCTTTAAGGTATTTTTTGCAAGACTATCGATCAACCGATTCCCAGTTAATTGCTTTGTTTGAAAATAAGAATAGCTTAAGTCGTGCATATTATCAGTTTAGCTTGCAATGGTTGCTTGCAGAGCTTGAAGCTTTAAAGCAGACTCAGATACTTAAAAGACGCTGTCAATATAGAAAGCAATAATGAAAATGATCCTAGTTCCACTGACGCTAACCTTTCTTGTCAGCGAAAAACTTGCTTTCCTGTCCGATTTGGCCAAGCCATGAAATAATGTCTGGATTACCATAGCAAATATCATGGGGCAACAGGCTTTCTGTCTGAGTCTGGCTTCTTCAAGCAACCCCTTTCGTACCTGTCTCATAGGAGTTCCCTTGTGGAACCCTCGTGAGTTCCTGGGGTACGTCAATAACGCCACTATTCTAAATTTTACCGCTGTCAATGCATCAATGACTTGTACTGATTGTACGGCCGCAAAACGTGATGGAGGCTGGCAGTGTACCATCATTAAAGCCCTCAATGGCACTCTTGCCTCCCCCCCAGAAGAACTGGATCTTTTTGGAAGTGCGAACACAACAAATGTCACCGGAGGTGGTTGGTTACAATTTAAGCCACCCACAGTAAGGCTCCCAAATAGCAATTGGAGGAAATGGACCACAGTAAATTCAGACATTAGCAACGCCATTAGTATTATGCAGTCCACATATTCCCCGTGTAACTCCACAGGTACACCTCCCAGATGACTACTCCAGGTATCTTTTTAATCTGTGGTGATCGTGCCTGGAATGGTGTTCCTGCCAGTCCTCATGGAGGTCCATGTTATCTTGGTAAATTATCACTATTCCACCCCAATATCTCTCTTCTGATGCGATGGACCCATGGAAATGCTACCCGTTCCAAACGGAGCGTGCATGAGTTAAAATGTGATGAGATAGGTCAGCCTACCTTTTGGTCTAATACTAGAATCCTTTTTCAATCAGTACTCCTCCCTCAAACATCAGCAGCCCAGGCATGGTATACTCTAAAACGACTAGCGTGTTGGACAAGAAATGAATTAAATCTCACCTCAGATATCTTAAGCAAATTAACAGAAGATGTAACCAGTGTAAATCATGCAGTTCTACAAAACAGAGCAGCTATTGATTTTCTATTGTTAGCTCAAGGCCATGGATGTGAGGATTTCGAGGGTATGTGGTGTATGAACCCCTCAGACCACAGTAACTCTATACACAAGGAGTTGCAACGACTCAAAGACAACTTGCACAAATTAAAGGAAGGTGAATCTTGGGACCTCAGCTCTTGGCTACGATCACTGGGACTAGGATCATGGCTAAGGAGTATTTTGAGCCACTTTTCGCCTGTATGTATCTTGCTTTTGCTCATTTTGATTTGTTTACCTTGTGACGGTCAGCATGGCTGCATGGGGCCCACGGAGGGGCCCTTGTGTCCCTGGTTGGCAGAGAGGGGCTGGGACTGATGGTGATGAGGGAAGGGCATGATGCTGCCGGAAGCACAGCAGAGCCATATCCCTGGTGCTGGGTTTAAAAATGCCATGTTTACGTAGATCCAGCAGAAGCAGCTGCAAGTGAGGTGGGGCCGGGTGGCCGATGGGATTCTCTGCATGGCTTTAACTCAGGGGAGCCTCACCTGGCAGGGACCAGAGTTTGTCCCTGTACCTCTCACCAGCCCCATCTACAAGGGGAGAGGGAGCTGGAGCAACAGCCCCTTCTTCCCACCCTCCCATCCTGTGTCCCTGGGAAAAGGGGAAACTGAGGCAGGCGGGTACCAACCCGTTAGCTTTGGCCTCAGCTCCTCGCAGGGGTTTCTGTGGTGACTTGGTCACATGCATGACCTCAGGAGGTGGCTTCTTCCCAGCCCAGGCTGCTGGAGGGACACATGGGGCTGTGACAGTAACGCTTCCCTGCTCAAATCATGGACAGACAGTTCAAGCTGCTCCTGAACCATGCAAAGTGCCCAGTCCTGAGCTGGTAGGATGGATGCTGTGCACAGGGGACAACGGGATGACCCTGGGAGCAGCGCCAACCATGACAGAGATCCTGCAGAGCTGGGCGCAGGATGGCAGATCAGAGGGACATAGGAAAGAAGAGATCTCAGGACATCTCCAATCCAGTCTCCAGCCCTAGAGTAAGGATGAGCAGAGCCGTAGGAATGCTGCTGGGACGGGCTTCTGAGGTCCCACCTCCTGTTTACTGCCAGGAAAACCTCCAGTGTGGGCAAGACTTCCTGCACCCAAGCATTGAGACCTGTCTCCATCTCCCAGTGGAGCTGGATGGCCCAGCCAGACCACAGTGACCCTACTCCAGCTCCCCATCTTCCTCTATAGCTGGGCATGCTGGTGGGACCCCAGCATCCCTTCCCCAGCTCCATGTAACCCTATGGAGCTGGGTTCCCCCAAATGGACACCAGTGTCTCCTCTCTTTGCACATCTCCTCAAGCCTCATGAGGACCCCACTGCCTGTCACCCCTACCCACAGGAAGGGTCCCTCTGGCACCGGTGCCCACCCTGCCAAGTTGTGGGGAGAAGCCACGTCCTTCTTCCCACCCTGTCCCCCAGATTTACCCATGTAGACGAAGATAAACTCAGAGGCTGATGGCTCATCCTCATCGTGGTCACAGTGAGATGTCTTGGTCTGGGCCTTGTGCATGAGAGTGGAGCGAGGAGAGGCTCTGCCAAGCAGCACTGGCTCAGCCACGTCTTTGGCAAAGCCACCAGTGCCACTGGCCCCCACCTTGGTGGCACTTTGCTGGCCCGCCAGCAGGGAGGATGGACATGGGCACTCCCAGCTCCCTGCCTGCAGCAAGGCCCTCTGTGCCAAGCCAGGCTCAAGCTTGGTCAGAGCTTCACCAGGACCATCCCTCAGGACCCCTTCCGCTGGGAATGGTGTGGGACCCAAAGAGGCACATGGGGTGCAGACACAGATGTCAGCATCCTGTGGCTCGGTTTGGGTGACCTCATCCTGCCTCAAAGGTGACAACCGATGGGAACAGCTGGGCGCTGAGACTGGTGGGGCTGAGCCCCTCCTGCCGGTGTCAGGCTGGGCTGAAGGGTGCAATGGGGGTGAGGGGCTCTGCCAGGCTGCCATCCGCTGCCCTGAGGAACACTGGTGGGGCAAGTGCAGCAGATGGTGGTAGTGGGAGTTGTACTTGGGCACTGCTTCCTTGGGGGGCATCGGTTGGGTGCAGGACCACCAGGGCTGTGCGGTGGCCACCTCCCTGCCTGACGAGGGGCAGCTCCCAGCCAGTGGCTCAGTATGGAGCACGCTGTTAGTCACAGGAGTGACGGAGTGGCCACTGCTCAGGCCCTGCTGTGGCTGGCTGCCGGCTCTCGCCTGGCTCTTCCCCTGCTCACTGCCACAGGGCTGCTGTAGGGTCACCAGCAAGCGGTCCGATGACACAGGCTGCACCATGCACCCTGCTCTGCAGCTCCACACAGCTGGGCACGGGGCTGCGGAGGCACCGGGAGTCCTGGGGGGCTCCCACTGTGGGGATGGGGGTCCCCCGGGGTCCTGCTGTCCTGTGGTGGCAGGGTACTAGGGTCCATGACGATCCAAGGGGTAACGGCCACAGGTGGACTCCTGCTGCCCTGGTGTTCTGGAGAGCGGCAGCATCCAGACCCAGTGTGGCACAGTGTCACCAAGGGCGCATTGGCAGCATTGTGACACTGGAAGGGTGTTTGCCCTTGTCCCTTCACCCGAGTAACACGGAACAGGCCAAGCGGTCACCCTGGGGTGGGAATGGAGCTACTGTCACCTCCTCAAATAACCTTCCCCTGTGCTAGCCCCTCCTGCACTGGGACCGAGCATCCCCAGAGCAATAAACCATGAGAGTTCCGCAGATCCTGGAACCCCTTTGGGCTGCAGTCTCCCACCTTCCTCTCTTAGCTGCAGCATCCCTAGGGACATCCTCAGGGACAACCCCCAGTCCCTCCCATGTCACCCCCTCCTTGAGCTCCTTGGAGTCCAAGTTTTTCTCCCTGAAGCTCAATCCCCACCACCACCATCTCCCTCCACTACCCCAAGAATGGAGATCTCCCACCCTGCGGACCCTAATTTGGTTTAGGAAGGTGAGAAGGGTAGAGGGACAGCATGGGACAGCCCTGGGCCACCACTGTTCCCTGGGGCTTGTTTTACATCGATGGCAAAGCTGCTTCCACAGTTATGCAGCTCCACAACCTGCCAGCTGCCACCATAGGCTCTGCCATCGTGTGCTGTGATAGTCAGCACGGCCGCGTGGGGCCCAGGGAGGGGACACAGGGCTTTTGGGTCTGGGGGGGCCCGGCCAGGTGGGGATGGCATCAGCCCCAGGTTTTTAAGGTGACTCACAAAGGGGTGGGAAAAGCATAAAGGGAGACAACAGTGCCGCCAGCACAGAAGTGACAAAGCTGGGGGATACCACCAAGCCCAGTACCCCTGCACCAGCCCAAGCAGAGGGACTGTCCCCTCCTGCCTCAACTTCCCCAAGAGCTCCCAGCTCCCCGGGGAGGCGAGCAATTCCCAAGCAGGCTGGGCAGCGAGCAGGGAAGGATTTATTGACTCACGGCTCGGGGTACATCACAGTTTGAGCTCCCTTCCCGCCTCTGGAGAGGACATCACCTTTGACTTCCCGGGCAAAAGTGCACGGAGAGGCTTCACAGTTTCATCCCTTTGGGAAAGCAGAACCGAGGCAGTGACAAATGGCAAACGCTACATTGTATGAAAAAATAATACAAACTCTTCTCTTTAAATATCTTACAGAAAAATGAACCTGAATAAAGAGCATGAGAAGCACCGCATGGTACACACACCCCCCCCCAACCACACCAGGTCAAGGACATCCACATCCCTGCATCCCTCTGGACCACTTGGTGCTGTCCCCAGGGTTGCGCAGTCATGGATTAGCATGGGTAGCAGGGACGTGAGGGCAGTGGCAACCAGATGGGTGGCCCCCATCCCCCATGGGTCCCTTGCTGAGCCGGGGGTGCTGGCAGTCCCCCAAGCCTCGGGTGCCAGCAGGAGCAGCGTTAGAGGGGCTGGCCGAGGACAAGGGCATTGCTACGAGTCTGGGAGTACCCCCACCAGAAGAACACTTTGGAGGTCCCCTCCTGTGTTGCAGTGCAAGTTCACGGAAGGCCAAGGCACCACCGCAAGGCTGCGGCTCTGTACGGGGCAGCCCATGGAGCACGTGCGGGGCCAATGGCCACGCAGCCCCGTGGGGCGAAGGCAAAGCAAGCCAGGGGGACACGAGGATGGTCCCCACGGTGTGGCCAGGCTTCTCCAGGGGTATCAGCTACAGCGTGCAGGGACCATGCAGCCCCGGGGAGAGCCAGCTCCCAGGGACAGTGTGGGCAGCAGCGGGCAGCCCGTGCAGATAGGCTTGGGGGCCTCATTTGGGGAGCCCCAGGGATCCAGCCCTGGGGATGTTGACAGCCAGAGGAGATGCTGGTGGCGGGCACAGCTCCTTGTCCTGCGGTTCTAGAGGGGATGCGGGGGTCTACCGACGGGGTGCAGGCAGCCCGCCCTCGCTCCGCCGGTGCATCTCCCCGAAGGCTCGGTCCAGCTGCTCCAGCTGGGAGCTCAGCGGAAGGTGGATCTCCAGATGCATATGGAGGGTTTCCAGCCACTGCTCCAGCTTGCTGAAAGACGGCCTGAGCGAGAAGGGACACACCGCAGCTGTGCTGTCTGTGTCTGTTCCCCACCCTCCACTAGCCCCAGGGGTCCCCCAGGGGAGGTCCTCAAGGACTCACCGCTTCTCAGGGTCCAGGTCACAGCAGCAGACGGCGATGGGGAAGAAACTGGGGGGACAAGCCGGGGGACAGTAGCGGTCCAGGAAGCCCCTGACATTGAGGCCGAAGTCAGTGGTGCGGGGCAGGTAGTCAGGGTCAGCGCTCACCCGGCCAATAATCTGGGGAAGAGGAGCTGGCTCAGCCCCAAGGGGGGCACCCTAACCCCAAGAAGGGAGGGACCCCGCACATAATAAAGCTCCCAACCCAAGGGATGAACTCAACCCCAAGGGGGTACCCCGACCCCAAGGGTACTTGCCTCACACAGGACGATGCCAAAAGAGAAGATATCCACCTTCTCATCGTAGCTCCTCCCTGTTGGGGAGATCGGTCAGGCCATGCTGCACGTCCTGTCCCTGTCCCACCAAGTGTCCCCTGCTTGGGGACAGAGCCCTGGCTGGCCATATGTCCCCTCATGTTGCCAGCCTCACCATTGATCATCTCCGGGGCCATCCAGTATGGGTTCCCCACCACTGTATACCGCTTCTTACGGTCCGGTTTCTTCAGGTTCTTGAGATGCTCAGGCTGGTTCTTCTCATCCACCATCAGCCGTGCCAGCCCAAAATCAGCCACCACCACACTCTTGTCCTGGGTGGAAGGAGAGGGGTGAGGCAAGGGGAGAGCCACACGGGGGGCCAAGACCCCCACCTGGGCCTGAGGATGACACAGCTGAGGCAAGACTCACCTCCCGCACAAGGCAATTGTGAGAGTTGAGGTCACGGTGGATGATGTTCATGGAGTGGAGGTAGGCCTGTGGAAAGGATGGGCTGAGAGTGGGACGCATCCCCACCCTGTGTTCCCCCACCCCCCCACCCATCCCTTGGTGGCACCCACCATGCCAGCAGCAATGTCCTTGGCGAAGCTGACCCGCTGGCTCCAGGGGTAGTGGCTGTCCTGAGGGCAGGAGGGGGAATTTGCCAAAGAAGAGAAAGGAGTCCCCAAGCCCCACTGGGGCTGTGGGGTAGCGGTGGGCTGACCTGCCCTCACAGTGCTCACCATGCTCTTAATGAGGCCCCTCAAGGTGCCCCCCTTGATGTACTCTGTGATAAAGTTGAGCCTCTTCTCCTTGTACAGCACCCCAATGAACTTGAGGACGTTCGGGTGCTCCAGGCAGCGCATCACCTTCACCTGCAGGACCACCCCAATCCTGTGACACCCTCAGCACGCACCCAGACAGACCCGCTGCTCACATGTTCTCCACTGAACAGGCAGGGCTGCCTGCACCTCACTGTGCCCGGCTACCCCTGCTTCAGGTGGTGTGTCCAGCATCCTGTGCCAGGGTGGGTGAGCATGGGACAGCATCATCCCCCGTGTCCCCCCAGACTAGGGGGATCAAAGAAAGGGAACACTCACCTCTTTGAGGAAGGTCCTTTGCGTGTCCTCATCAAAACGGATCAGCTCCTTCATGACCATCACTTCGCCCGTCTCCCGATGAGTTACCTGAAGGGCGCACAGGGGCTGAGCCACTGAGGAAACCCTGGAGGAGAAGATACCTCCCCTCCATCCATGGGGAGCCGAGACCCTCATGCTTATGACACCTCTGGCCATCCAGCCCCACCTTGATGGCCTGGCCGAAGCAGCCCTTGCCCAGCACCTCGCCATGGATCAGGTCAGAAGGGCGGAAGATGCGATGGGTGCGGGAGACAGCACGCAGTGACTCAGAGCGACCGATGTCCTTGTGCTGGGATGCTGGTGAACCTATCGAGCCGGAGCCTGGAGACTTGTCTGTGCTGCAGCTCCTCCTGCAGGATGGATGGACAGATGGTCAGAGGGTGAACCTTAAGGATGGACCCCAACAGGAGAGGCAGGCAAACTGGTGGCCTTACGTGACAGCCCGCTGGCGCATGGCACCAGGCTCCCCGCAAGCTGCAGGGACCAGGGAGTGCAGAGGGCTGCATGGGGCAGGCAGGGGGCTGCAGGCAAGCCCCGGCTCACAGGCAGGAGGCTCGTGGGGGTCGTGCTCAATGGTCAGCTGGAGCAAGCGGGTGGTCTCCTGGATCAGCAGGTCAATCTGGGGGCACAGAATGATTGTGGTGGAGACTTTGCACCGGGGAGGGGCTGGCTGGGGGCAAAGGAGAGCATACTTCATCCAGGGGGACATGGCCAATGGGAGTGCCGTTGATCTCCAGGATGCGGTCGCCCACGTGGATGGAGTTCTTCATGTCAGGGCTGATGCAGTCTGGATCCACCCTGCAGGGCCAACAGGCAGCAGGGGTCAGCCCCCAACACTGTCATGAGTGGGGATGTGCTGGGACACAGCCCATGAGCCCAGGCAATGGGGACAAGCTGCCACATCCTCTGCAAGTCACTTCTGTGAGATGTGAACACTTCTGGCAGTGTTTAAGGCCAGGCTGGATGGGGCTTGGAGCAAGCTGCTCTAGTGGAAGGTGTCCCTGCCCATAGCAGGGACCAGAGCTGGATGAGCTTTAAGGTCCCTTCAGCCCAAATCAGTCTGATTTTATGATTCACTGCTGTCACAGTACCCATGAGCCACCCCTGCTAAAAAGGGACATACAGGCACGCTGCCCACACATCACCCTTGCTTGATGGGGTCATGCTGTCCCAGTATCCATGTGTCACCTCTCTGAGACTGGGACACACAGTCATGCCACCCACAAGTCACCCCTGCGAGACTGGCAGTAGATGATGAGGCCATTAGTGACATGGTTTAGTAGTGGCCTTGGCAGTGCTGGCTAACGGTTGGACTTGATGATCCTAAAGGTCTTTTCCAGCCTGGTTGGTTCTATGGGGACTTGCAGGCATGATGCCCATGAGCCACTCCGCCAGGAGCACCTTCAAGCCATCCCAAGGATACAGGGATGTGCCACCCCTCTATTCACAGTCACCCTGGTAGATGGAGCAATGCTGGCACATCACCCCTAAACCACCCTGATGGCCAGGGACACACCAGCAGAGTCCCCACAAACCAAGCCCAGTCGCTGGGGACATGCCACCATGGTCCCCACTGGCCACCCCTGGCCAATGGGGACACTCCAGCCCCATCCATCACCCTCCAACCCCAAAAGATCTCTGCAGGGTGGATCCCACCAGCAGAAGGGACACGGAATGCCCCCAGCCCTGAGGAGGGGACAGTGGCAGAGGGGACACAGACGCACTCTCGGACGCGGACAGTGCGGGGGTGCTCAGTGCCGCAGCCTTGGTCGATGGAGACGGAGAATCCACGTTTGCCATCAGAGCAGGCAGGGATGGAGACGAGCGTGACGGTGTGTGGGATGCGGGAGGCCGGCGAATCCGGCAGGATCTGCTCGATGACCGGTGTCACCACCATCTGGTAGTAGCAGTGCCCACTGTGGTGCCGAGAGGAGGCCGGTGGGTGGGGGATGCTAGGGGACGTGTGTCCCCCAAGCCACCCTCCCAGGCTGGGACATACCAGTAGAGCTTGGAGCGCTCCACCAGCGCATAGGTGTCCCCATCACCGATGAATATGTGGCAGTTGAGGCAGCTGAAGCACTCGGGGTGGTACTTTTGCTCCCCAGCCACCTGAAAGCAGACACCATCAGCCCCAGCATTCCAGGTATCTGGGGCACCCAGTGTGGGTGCCGGGGCTCGGACAGGGCTAAGAGCACCCACGGCTGCACCCATGCCAAGGGAAGGGCAGGCTGAGCTGTGGAGTGGTGGGGACAGGGGTACCACCAGGTTGGGGACAGCTACAAGGACATCTCCCCACCATCTGTGAGCCTTCCATCATGCATCCCGCAGCTGCAGCATGGTGGCACACCCTCCAGGGTCCCCCTAAACCTGCACACCCTTTCCACCTCACCCCCTTACTGAAGCTGAGCCGTGGGTCAAGGCTCTGTGTCTGTCCCCCTGATGTCCCCACTGATGCTCACCATGACAAGCCCCTTGGTGATCTGTTCAGAGCAGCCGTGGCAGAGCTCCCCGAAGCGCACCCAGTAATCCTTCTTACAGTACAGGTGCCCATCCTTCTCGTAGTACTGGTGGGACAGGGAGGCCCCACACTCACAGCACCTGTGGCAAGGGACAAGGACCCCCTAGTCACCATGTCCCCCTTGTCACCATATCTCCATTGTCACCCCAGGGAAAAGCCAGTGTCCCCCTACCCGCCAGCCCTACAGCTCCCTGGACAAGCTGTTTCCCCCACTTCTTTCCCTGCTGCAGGGCCACCACATCCATGTGTCACTAGCACTGCAGACTGGCAATGCAGGGACACAGGGTTGAACAGGACAGAGGATGTGGGGCAGGGACATGTGTAGGGAGGGAGATGCCAGCCCTGCAACAAAGTGCCAGCCTGGTCATGCAGACGCAGAGGGATAGGCCACCCTGGCTACAGACAGAGGGATGTGCCAACCTTGAGGGTGCAGCACTCTGTGTGCTACTAGCACAGTGGAGGGGGATGCACAGTGAGGATGCAGAAGCTGCTCTGGGGCCACGATTTGGGGGTGCAGGAGGAGTGCACATGGGTGTGTGACGGGAGGGTGCAACCAGGTATGCAGAGGGGGCTGCGAGCTTTGGAAGTACACAGGCAGGTGCAGGAGTGCTGTGTTGCATCAGGGGGTGCTCAAGGTGATTTGCTGGGGGACTAGAGGAGCTGGGGGGTGCAGAGGGGGGTGCAGGGGGGGCTGTCGGGGTTGCACAGGGGGTGCAGAGGGGGCAGTCGGGGGGTGCGGGGGGGGTGCACAGGGACTGCCGCAGCCGGGGGCAGGCTCCGCGCTCAGGTCGAATCCAACCAAGCAGGCGTGACGTCAGGACACGGAACTTCCCCACCCCATGACATCACCGCAAGAGGACTCCACCGCCTGATCCAGGCCTCACCCCGGCCAGGAGCAGGGGGGCAATGGGGGAGGGGAGCGGCTGTTTGACACCGCCCTCTTAACCCCCACGCTGCCGAGTGCCCCGATGGGGAGCCGCATCCTCCCCCACGACGAGTGACACGGCGCTGGGGCCCACGCCTCCTTCCACGGGGTGGGGGGCACAGGAGGAGGAGGAGAGGAGAGGAGAAAGGTTTTTGCACCAGTGAGCCCCGTGCTGCCGGAAGCTGGTCTCCCATGGGGCAGCCAGGGAGTTGTGGGGGGCTGGATACAGCTGTGGCCCCACAGCGGTTTCGCTTCACTGACAGCCCATGGAGGGTGGACTCAAGCATGCCCAGAGGGCCATGGGGGTGCAGCATCCATCCCGACCCACTCACTTGGCTAAGGAGCTCAGGATGTGGCTCTTCCTCAGTGCTGCTACCAGCATCCTCCACAGGACGTGATGGAGGGGACCACCCCCGTGCCCTGCTGTGCTCAACACCTGCAAGGTCCCAGCCACCCCTTATGCCCCCCAAACCTGGGACCTTCCTCCTCGTCCTCCACAGAGCTCCCACAGCTCGAGCTACCAGGAGTGAAAGAGGAAACAGAGTAGGAGGGAGGGGGACTGGTGACATCAGCCCCACACGTCCTGTAACCAGTCATTGGGCAGGAAGGGACAGCAGTGGGGTGCAGGCAGTGGGGTGCACACAGGGGGGTGTAGGCAGTGGGGTGCACGCAGTGAGGCCCTCTGCCAGGCTTTGCATCCCACATCCAGGTCTGCCTGCACCCTGCAGCTGTGCTCCCGCCAGCATCTGGGTGCATGCGACAGCCTCCTGTGTGTGGTCATCAGGGCAGGAGTGGGATCTGCTGTCCCTGTCCCCGGCAGCATCCCGGTGTCCCCGCTGCTGTGCTGGCTGCACCGCGCTCCTACCGGAAGCAATCGGCATGCCAATCCGCGTTCAACGCCTGCAGGTACTGCCCATCATAGATGCCCTGCCCGCAGCTCGCACACACCGGCAGGTCGGTCCCTGCGTGGAGGGGGGAACATAAGGGGGACACGGCTGTCACCCCGCCAGCTACCCACAGGCACAGCCCACAGTATTGTCCCTCTGTCCTTGTTGCTCCATTCAGGGTGATGAATTTCCCCCCCCCCCAGCCCCCACCCATCGATCTCCTAACGTGGACAAGGTCGCGGTGCCGATGTCCCCAGAGCTGGGGACAGGGCAGGGGCTCAGTGCCAGTCACGTCCCGCTGTGCCAGGCCACCCCTGCACCCTGGTGACCTAATCGTGGGTGCCCATAGGATGGGGGGACACAGAGTGGTTGAGGGGCACGGGGTAGGATTGGGGATCTAGGGGTGTTCCACAGAGGTGCTGAAGGGGTGGCAAGGGCTCAGCCATCACAGGGGACAGGCAAATAGGGGGGTGCAGGGGTGATGGGGGGCTGGGGACAGCAGGACAAATGCTTGCAGTGCACTGAGACATAGTGGATGGAGGGAGGGATGCTTAGTGCTTGTGGCTGGACATGCAGGAGGGGTGGGATGGGAACAGGAGCACATACTGAGATGCAGGATGGGTGCGGGAGGGATGGCAGGGGGCAGGAAGGGGGCAGAGGAGGGATGCACAATGGGTGTAGGGGGAGATAAAGACTGCCAGAATGGAAGGGATATGAAGGAGGGATCCAGTGGGACATAAAGCACATGGGGGGACACAGAGGGGTGCAGGATGTGTGCTGTGGGATGTAGGGTGAAGGGGGGAGGGACGACAAAGGGGTGCAGGATGTGTGCTGGGGGGATTCACGATGGGGGGGGGACAACAGAGGGGTTCAGGATGCGTGCTGGGGTGGCAGAGAGGGATGCAGCAAGGATGGGGTATAGGATCAGTGCAGAGACAGCAAAGGGTGCAGGATGGGTGTTGGGGGCAATCTGCAGGATGGAAAGAGGTGAGAGACGGGGGGGGCTGCAGAGATCATCAGGGTGCGAGGAGGGATGAGATGTGCTAGGGGTACAGAGTGGATGGGAGGCACAGCAGGGATGTGGGGGTGCAGTGAAGGAGGCATGAGGCATAGGGGGTAGGGATATGGGGGTGCAGGAAGGAAGGTGCAAGGTGTTTGTGGGCTGCAGGGAGGGATGCAGGCTGGAGGGGATGTGGGAGGTGCAGGGTTTGCGGATGCAGAAGGGGTGCCGGTTGGATGGGATGCCATAGGGGGATGCAGGCCGGATGGTGGGTGTGGGCAGGGATGCAGCAGGGCTGCACAGGCTAAAGAAGTGGTACAGAAGGATATCTGGGGGTACATGGGGGATGAAGGCTGAAATACAAGGGGAGATTTGAGAGTGCAGGGCAGATGCAGGTTGACCAAGGGGATGCAGAGTGGGGATGCAGGGGGGATACAGGTTGAATAGGGGGTGCAGGAGGAGATTTGAGGATTCAGGCTGAAAAGGTGGTGTGGGGGGATGCAGGGGGCAATACGGGCTGGATGAGGGGTGCAGGATGGATGTGGGGGTGCAGGTGAGATTCAGGCTAGATGGGTAGTGCAGGGGAGAGATGCAGGCCGAACAGGGGGTGCATGGGAGATGTAGGGGGACAAGACAGATGCAGGCTAGAAAAGGGGTGCAGGGGGGATGGCAGGGTGCAATGCGGGCTGGACGGGGAATGCAGGGGGTGATCTGCGGGTGCAGGGGGACGCTGGCTGGCTGAAGATTGCGGAGGGGGTGTAAGGGGGGGATGCAAGCTAGATGGGGAGTGCAGAGGAGGGTGCAAGGGGTGCGGTGTGGGCGGTGAGTGCAGGGGGTGCGCGGGGCCCACGGCTGGCCGCGGGTTGGGTCGCAAGGCCCAAGTGGCGGCGGAAGCGCTGAGTCAGGAGGGGGAGGGGGCGCGGGGGGTCACGCACCTTCGTCCTCTCCCATAGGCTCGTCCCTCCAGGTACAGCACAGCAGCATCAACCTCATGCAGCCGCACTGCCCGGCGCCGCGCCAGGCCCTGCCTTCGCCCTCGCCCCGGGTCGGGTCCGGGTCGGGTCGGGTCCGGGTCGGGTCGGGTCGGGTCCGGTTCCGGTTCCGGTCCGACCCGGTCCCGGCCCGGTCGGGCCCCGGCCCTACCGCTGCCGCTGCGGCTCCGGCGCGCAGGGAGGGCCGGGCGGGAGCACGGCGCCTGCGCGGCCGCGGGAGCCGCGTGGTGGGGGAGGGCGGGAGGGAGGGCTCAAAGGGGGCGTGGCGTGGCCAGGATGGGGTGGGGCCGGCGAGTCCCGCGCGCTGCCGTGGGTGCCGTGCAGCCCGTGCTGTCGCGGCGGGCACCGTGATAGCCCCCGGCAGTGGCCCGGCTGTCACCGTGCCGCGGGGCGCAGGCCTGGGACCCCAGCTGCCACTGCGGGACAGGGCGAGGACGTCCCCATGCTCCCTGGGGATGTCACCATGGGAGGGCACGGGTGTCCCCTTTATCCCCCGGGCTGTCACCGTGGCGTAGCTCACGGATGTGTTCCTCGTCCCCTGGGCTGTCACCAAGGGGCATGGACATACCCCTTGGTCCTCAGGCTGTCCGCATGGGATGGGGCAGACACATATCCCTGCATCCCTCAGCTTTCACCACGGGCAGAGCATCCATCAACCCTGGGGATGTCACTGTGAGACAGGGCATAGATGTCCCCCCATCCCCAGGCTCCCACCGTGGAAACATGGGCACACCCCTAGGTCCCCAGTCTCTCCCCTCGCCTACCCACTGTGTCCGAGGTCTGTGACCACAGAGTGGGGCACACGGCACCCCCCGACCACGAATCCAGCTCGTCCCCAGGCTTAGGCAGAACAGGCACAGAGATGGGGCAGTGGCATCCGTCACTGCCACCACCACAGGGAGGGGAACTAGGACACAGGACAGAGTCAGAGTCATTTAAAAACTTGTCCTTTATTAGTCTGTCGGAAATTAGTTCCTCTGCATAGGGCGTCCCACCCGGTTATAGCAAAGTGGGTAACATGAAGGGACAGAGCCCCTCCTGCCCGCGGCCCCCCCGGAGCGCGGGGACCGGGGGGAGCCCAGGGCTGTCAGGGACATCCCTCCCCGAGCAGCTCCCCGCTGCTGGGACCCCCTTCCCTCCCTCCCTCCAATGTGAGGTGCCCCTCATCCTGCCCTACCCCCTCCGGGGTCAGGTCTGAGGCTGGCAGGGTGGCGACACCCCAACACCCCCCCAAATCCGCAGGGAGCAATAGCACCAAGGGGAACGGCTGCTCGCCGCAGTTTATTCCGTGCTCCCCGCCGGGATGGAGGGGCTGAGGGTGGGACAAGCGCAGCCGGAGGCACGGGGCCCCTCCTGGGAACGTTGGGTCCGGGGTTTTGGGGGGGGGGGGGGTGTCTCAGCTTTGCTTGGGATTTACATTCTGGACCATGCAGTAGCACCAAAGTTCATGAGGTCATGGGTGATGACGTCCGGTTACTTCCGCTTCCTTCCGCAGTACTTCCCTTGTGCGCAGCCCACGCCGCCTTGGGGGGGGGGGGGGTGTATGGGTATGTGAGCAGGATGAGGCTTCCTCTGCACCCTTCAACCCCGGGGGCGGGGAAGGGCACGGGTGCAGGAGCCGGCCCCATCGTGGTGGGGGTCACCAGTGGCAGCGCTCACCTCTAAAGCCCAGGGCACCGAGGGCTCCTCCATAGGTCTTGGGGGGCTTCCCTGCAGGGGGGAGAATGGGGTGAGTGGGACCTCCACCCCACTCGGCTGCTGGGTGCAGGGGATAGGTACACCCCTTCCACCCTAAAAATACCCCATATGGGGGATGGACACTCACCACCGAATCCCAGCTGACCGGCAACCCCACCTGGAAGGAGAGTGGAGCCCTCAGCATCCACCAGGCACCCCTATTGCTCTGACCCACACCCCCCAGCCAAGCGCGCCCAGCTCAGTCCAGCACCCAGCATCCCTCCCCAGTCTGTGTCCATGTCCCCCTGCTCTGTGGGCTGTGCGTGTCCCCGTGAGCCGTCACCGAAATGTGCCCTGGCAGGTGCCGAGGCACAGAGCTGGGGATGGTACCTGGAAGGATCGGTGACACACCGAAGCCGGGAACTCCAACCCCTGGGGAAAAAGCAATAGCCAGTGGCAGGTTATGACAGCAGTGCCACCCCAGCCTTGCCTGGTTGGGGCACCCTGGCTGGGGTCACTTGGAGGGACGGAAGCAGCTACAAAAGCCCCTATCCCCACCATGGCACCTGTCTGGGTTTGGGGTGCTCTCCCAGGCAGTATTGTGCCCAGCAGGGGATGGCAGCAGGTGAAGACAGCAAGTGGGGACAAGTGTGATGTGGCAGGGGACATACTCCCACCCCAGCCCCAAACATGGGCACTCACCTGGCTGCAGCCCCCCAACACCAAAACCTGTGGGATGAGAGAACCCTGATGAGGGCAGGGAGTGTAGGGACAAGGGTGGGGATGGGGACAGAGATGAGGGTCACACTTTAACCCCCCCTGGCCAGAGCAGCTCCTGTTCCTTACCTGGCTTGGGAGGTTTCCCAGCAGCTCCTGGGTACAAGAGCCCTGTGTCAGAGAAGGGCATCAGTGCAGCCCTCACTGGGGCTCCCTGCTGCTATGGTGCAGCCAGACCCTGCTATGAGACCAGAGGGTTGCCGGGCAGGGACCGGCATATTGGCGTATCTCTGCATACTGGGGACATGGTGCAGTGCCAGCCCCTGTCCCCATGCAATGGCAACACTGGTGGTATGGCCCTTGGTACCTGCTTGGTGATAGCATTCCTTTCTGATGCCTGGGAGCAGGGCAGGCAGCAGACACAAGATGGGGCACAGGGCACAGTGACTGTGTGTGGTGTGACCCAGGGGGGACAAAAGTGACCCTGCAAGCCCTGCATCCCATACAAACCCTTCCCTTTCCAGCAGTCTGCCAGCATGCTGCTGCTGCTCCTGTCCCCGCACCCCAGCCCTGCAGAGCCCTGATGCCAGGGGCCAGCATCACTCACCAGCACCAAGCCCACCAACTCCGAGGCCGCCAGCTCCAAGGCCACCGACTCCAAGGCCACCTATGACGGGGACCCTGAGTGAGTGCCAGCAGGGACAGGCCTAGCCTGACGTGTGCCTGTCCTTCATCAGACAGCCACCCATGCCCTCGGGAAGCATCCCTCCACTCTTATCCCTCTGGGGGGGACATCCCCCTGCCTCCACATCCTCACTGCCTGGGTTCAGCTCCTGCTAGCACCTACCTGGGACACCGCTGATCCCTGGGACTCCAACCCCAGGAACACCTGCCAGAAAGACACCATTAACTCACTGTCCCCCAACAGCCCAGCACCCACAACTCTGGGCACCCCAGACAGTGCTAAACTCACTGAGATGGCCCTAACACCCATCCTAGGTGTCCCCAACACCCATATCACAGTACCCAGCGCAAGAAGACCTGGAGGGGGCTCACTCCTGTGTAATGCATCACTGCAAGCAGTGCAGAGGAGGGGGAAAATGTCCCTAGTGAGTCCAGGGGAGGGGGCACAGATGGCACGTTGCACCCATAGGTGACAGCATGCCACTTCCAATGCCTGGGCCACCTTCTGCTGTGGCACCAGGGTGCACAAAGTGAGGACAGCACCCTGAATGGCCACATGAGAAGGGTGCCCAGTGACTGTCTGAGGTGGACCCTGGGGCAGGGCAGCAAAGATACCTACCCAATTTCGGAGGTTTAGCACCAGGCTGCACCCCTAATTGGGGGATGCCTGCAAAGAAAATGAGGACACCACAGTCAGGATGGTCACCCCTGTGCCCCTCCCACATGCCACCATCCCTCATCCTGCCTGCATCCCCCCAGACCACCCTGCAATGTAACTTAGTGGCTTTTAGCATCCTTGGCCACCCCTGCCCGCAGGCAGGTCCCCATGGGGGTGTGAGGAAGCACGTACCTGCCCCGGGGAGGATGCCAGTACCAGGTACCCCCACACCCGGCACTAGCCCAGGCACGCCACCGACACCAGGCGTCACTCCTGGCACCCCAGCAACACCAGGCACTGCACCAGGCACCCCTCCAACGCCGGCACCTGCAGAGAGAGGGGGTGAGGTGGCGTGGGGAGGTCACCATGTGATCCCCATGCTCCCATGATCTGCTCAACATGCGGTGCCCACCCAGAAGCCTCCGGGCTCCCCCGGGGCCAGGCTGTGCCACAGCAGGGCTTGGGGAGAGCCTGGCTGCCCACCAAGTGGGGAGAGCTGCCAGTGATGGGCTCCTCTGGCCAACTCACCAAATTTGGCTGCCTTCGCTGCTGCTTTGGCTGCTGCAGCTGGAACTCCGACCCCTGAGCAGAGACATCAAGAGGGCATTAGAGTCCCTGGGGGCATCCTCTCCAGCAATGCTGGGTAGAGCCCATCCCTCCAAGGAGTGGCCATGAGTTGACGGAGACCACCGAGGTCCTCCTTGTGCCTCTCCTCCCCAGACCTAGCAGCCAGGCTGCCACCATCACCTGCCATCCTCCTCCTCACCTGGGACACCTGCAACACCGGGGACCAGGCCACCAACTCCAGGAGCAAGGCCACCTACACCGGGAGCCAGTCCACCTACACCAGGCGCAAGTCCACCCACACCAGGAGCCAGAGCACCTGCTCCTGCAGGGAGAGAGGGAAGGAAGAGGGGTGGCGGAAGAGGAGCTCAGGAAGAGAGGTGGTGGAAGGAACTGGCTGAAAAAGCCATGGCAGGCTGGGCTGGGCACACGGATAGACAGATGAGTGGACAGAAGGATACTGAGGTGGTTGTCTGCCTGGCTGGTGGTGTGGATGGGTGAGTAGAAGGGAGGGTGGAAGGACTAATGTATGAGGTGTAAGGATGGTGAATCTAGGAACCTTCATGCAGACCAGCTCTCTGGAGAGCACCCCCTGACACAGCCAGGACCTCATCCCACATCCTCATCTCCTCATCCCTGAGGAGAGCTCATCCCTCATCCCGATCAACAGGGACCCTGTTCGGTGCTGGGCCTCAACCCCAACAAAGACAGTAACCTGGGGTGAGGAAGTGACAGGAGACAGGACATGTGGGATAACCCTGGAGAGATCCCATCTTACCATACTTGGCTGCTTTGGCGGCTGCTTTGGCAGCAGCGGCAGCTGCTGGGGCTCCGACTCCTGGGGGAGAGGGAAAGCATGAGGAGCAGTGATGGGGTCACATCAGCACTCTTCAGCCTCTGGAGACATGCCAAGCACCCCTTAGACACCATCTCACCTGGTACAGCTCCGACCCCAGGCACCAGACCGGGCACACCAACTCCAGGGACACCAACTCCAGGCACACCGACACCGGGCACACCGACACCAGGGACACCGACACCAGGGACACCGACACCAGGGACACCAGGGACACCGACACCAGGGACACCGACACCAGGGACACCGACACCAGGCACACGCCCTGCACCTGCAGAGAGAGGTTCAGGATGTGGCTGAGCAGGCTCAGTATGCACTGGCCTCCTGCCACCCGCAGTGCTGGAGGTGCCCCCCATTCTGCTTGTTGTGAGCACCCCTTGTTCCTCCTCTTTCCCTGGGGAAGGATGATGGTCACTCACCAAATGCTGCGGCTTTCGCTGCAGCCTTCGCTGCGGCCGCAGCAGCTTCTGGGGCACCCACTGCATTGAGAGAAGGAAGAGAGTCATGGGACCAGCGAGGCCAGCACCACCCATCAGCTAGTGCCAGCCCATCTGCTCACCTCCAATACCAGGCACCACGCCAGGAACCCCAGCCACACCGGGCACGCCGGGCACGCCAGGCACACCAGGGACGCCAGGGACACCAGGGACACCAGGGACACCAGGGACACCAGGGACACCAGGAACACCACCAATGCCAGGAACACCAACGCCAGCTCCTGCAGGCAATGGGAGAGGGGGAGCTAGATCTCATTGCAGCAACAGTTGAAAGGTGGGACCTTGTCATAGGTCTGCTCTCATTGTCATGCTGTGGTGGGAAGAGCACCCCACCACCTCATCCACAGTGCTGTAAGGGCAGGACTGGTCCCATTTGTGCCAAGAGGCCCCAGTGAGGATGGTAAATCTGCTGTTGTCAAAGAGTGGCTGGGAAGTTACCAGCACAGGGGACTGTGATGATCCATCATCATGGGGGGCTCCAGATGGTCCTCATCATGGGGACATCAAGCCTTGCAGCCAAACAAGCCACATAGGAGATGTGGCTGGTAGCCCCCAGTAGCTGCTGGGAAGGGCTGGGTGCCCTGCACACTGGCCAGACTGGGAAGTCTCCCAGGGCAGTGACAGTCCTGGGGCCACTGGCACTCATTACTGCCACAGGGACAGGCAATGCATCACTTCTGGAAGGGCTGATGGAGGGGCTGGTGTCGTGGGCTCCTGCTCAGCCCATGCCTGGCACCCAGCGCAGAACACATTCCCATTAACTTGTCACTGCCAAGTATCTCCCTAAATCCCATCCTTCCCTGGGCACGTGGCAGGATTTTTTTTGTACATGATGCAGAAGAGAAATGGAAGCAATGGCCAGCAATGGAACTAGATGATTTTTAAGGTTCCTTCCACCACTATCCTATGATTCTGTGAAAGCTGCCGTTGAGCATGGCTGCTCCAAGGGGACTCACAGGGCTCTGCAGTGATGATGCAGGAGAAGGTCCTGGGACCCAGCCATGTGACCTCTGGCACTGCCTTTTGGAGCAGCATAGGGATCCGCCACCCCTATGTGGAGCTTTGGGGATGCTTTGCTTCCTCTCTGTGCCTGGGCTCACAGCTTCCCTGTTACCTTGCCAAATCCCTCATCCCCTCTGGGATCCTGCTTGCTGGAGCTCCCTTGGGAGAGGTTATGACTGCTGAGTGCCTGGGTTTTGCTAGCCAGGTTGGATGCACTTGCTAGATCTCACCAGGTGTTTGGAAGGTGACCCTGGGATGTCTGCCCACCCAGGCAGCGAGGCTGAGCCTGCAGGCACCAGGCTGACCCAGAGAGCCAGGGTGGAGAGGGTCAGCAGGGTCCCCGGGGAGCTGCTGGGAGCTCCCTGCACCATGCAGCACGTACCGTACTTAGCTGCCTTTGCTGCCGCTGCTGCTGCTGCCGGCCCCCCGACTCCTGGAATAAGGGAGAGAAGGGCCCTCAGCCACCAGCCCTCACAACCTGCAGAGCCGGGTGATGGGTACAGGGCTCCTGGGGACAGTCACCTGCCACCCCGGGGACACCTCCGACGCCAGGCACCAAGCCGGGGACGCCACCAACGCCAGGCACAAGGCCAGGGACACCACCAACCCCTGGACCTGGAGGAAAGCAGAGCTGTCAGACACCCCCCAAAACACCCCCTGCCACTGGTGTGGATATGATCTCTCCTGGTGTCACAGGAGGCTCTGGGGCACCTGGCTTTGAGCACCTCAGCTGCTCAGGGGACCTGGGATGTGCCCAGGATTGGGATTCCCAGCTTCCTACAACCAACCCAGGGTCTGGAGCCCACAAGACCACCCAGGAGCTTGGCGACTTCCAGGGTCCCCCATGGCCATGGTTATAAATCCCAGCTGCTCTCAGGGCTGACATGTTTCTTCTGGATGCATTGGAATGAGCAGTTTGCTGCTCAGTTTCCCCCCACAAAGCAGCCAATAATGCAAATAGTGAACATGAGCTCTGCATCACCAGGTATGTCTCTGCTCACAATTAGTGACTCATTACAGAGTACGCCTGTCCCGACCTCTCAGAGCAAAACCGTATCTCTTGTGGAGAAACCATGGCTGATGGGGGGACACTGCACTGTTTCAGGCAGCAAGAAAAGCTGTGTTTTGTAACCCAGGCTTTCCGAAGCCCAAGCTGTGCTCTCCCAGCAGGCTTCTGGAGCCTGCCCCCAAAGGGGCCAAGCACCTCTGCAGCCCTGGGGGAGGTTTCACCAGCTTTCGCCTTCCACCAGCAAAGGCCTCTGGCTCAGCACAGTGGCTTCACCTCGCCTGAGATCTAACAAGCAGCCCTGGAGCCACGGCAGGGGTCTGTGCCTGGGAGAGCATCCCAGGAGATGGCACAGGGGGTGGTGGGGCTGGCTGTGAACCCGAGCAGCCCTGGCGCCAGTGCATGGCCGCGCAGGCAGCAGCAGGATCCGTCCCTGACAGTGGGGAACTCACCAAAAGCTCCTGCCTTTGCTGCTGCCTTCGCTGCTGCCGCTGCCGCTGCGGGACCTCCAACTGCTGGGGTAGTGGGAGAGAGTCAGGGGTGTGGGATGGGTGGAGGTGACCCAGGGAGCCCCAGGACCTGCATTGCCTCACCTCCAACCCCTGGAACAACACCAGCACCCGGTACCACTCCACCGACTCCTGGGATGCCGCCAGCCCCAGGCAGGACACCAGCTCCTGCCACAGAGAAGGGGACTGTCAGCTTGATGATGCAGGGACACCACCAGCATCCCCCAGGCCTGGGAGGGAGGGAGCCCCACTGGGGAGAGGAGTGATGGATGTGCCCTCGGAGGGTGACTCACCATATTTTGCTGCTGCTTTCGCTGCTGCTGCCTGCGCTCCAACTCCTGGGGAAGGACATGGGCAGCCACTAAGTTCCCAAGACCATTCCCACCTCAGCTCCCCCACTCCATAGGGACTTTGGGGACTAGCCCCTCCTGTTAGCACCCAACCCGCTCTCCTTTGGGAGGTGATGGATCCCTCCAGGCTGTGCCTGGGGTGACACTGTCACTGGCAGAGCCCAACGCCCTCTCTAAGCACCAGCAAAGTGACTGGGTGCCCAGTTCCCCCACCATGGCCATGCCAGCCCCCCACCCCAGGGCTGCCTGGAAAGGGAGCATACCTGTCCCGGTGGGGTACCCTGCCTTTCCTCCTGCCCCGATGCCAGCTCCTATCCCGCCTGGCCCGAAGCCTGCAATCACAAACAGAAAGGCAAAGCTGAGTCAGGCACTGGCCCTAGGAAGTGGGCTATGAAACAGCTCCCTCAGCCCAAAGGACTTCCCTGCCTTCGGTGCCCAGGGATGTGGGTGATGTGCTGGAACCTGCTCCACTGCAGCTGAGATGTCAGTTCTAACATCCCTGCCTGGAGCTGCCTGCAGCTCAAGACGTATCCTGGCAGAGCCAGCTGACCACTGCCAGTGTCCCCCATGCCATGGAATGCCAGGAGAGCTGGGCTTCCCCCAGCTGGGTCCACAGGTAGCCCAGCAGGGCAAGGCACAGGTCCCCGGAGGGACCACCTCAGCCTGGGAGCAGGAGGCTCCTCATACCACCCAGAGGGTTGGTGACCACAAAGCCATGGTGGCAGCCAGTGGGGCTTTGAAGAACTATGACCGCGGAGTGAGGGCTACAAGCACTCACCATAGGGCAGCTTACCAGTACTGTAGGGCAATCCATAGCCACCTGGAGAGGAGAGAAGGTGGCAGGTTAGCACTTGTCTGCCGGTGGCTGTGACCCCTCTGCCCCGCGGTGTAGCCCCTCTCTGCCAGCCAGTTCTGCAGCACCAGCCCTTGGGGCATCTTCCATCAGGATAGTAAATCCTCCAGGATACAACTCCCATTATGAAGCCAGGCCAGGAGATGCTTTTCTCCATCACCTTGGAAGCAGCATCTCTAAGAACAGCCACTCACTATCAGGGGCCAAGGCTGTGCCATTCAGAGCCAGTTTTGCAGGAGCCTTCTATGATCCCACTTAGGCAGGGGGTCCCCCTGGAGCCCTGCGGCAAGAGCTGTACCCAGCTGCCTGCACCATGGCCAGCTCCAAATGAAAGGGTTTAACTGGAATGACGGTTTGGGAGCCTCTGCTGAAACGTGACCTCTTTAGGAGGTCGGTGTGAAGGGACAGGGAGGGATTATGAGCAGCAGTGTTGCAGCCAGGGAAAGGTCTCCTTTTGAAAGAGCATGATCCCACTGCTCAGGATGGCACAGGGATGCCCATGACTCAGTGGGGAATGTGTGCTTGGGATGGGCAGCACCAAGCTCCCATTACAGCTGGCACTGGCCTGAGGAGGAGTGATGGGCTGCCACATCCCCAGCAGGGACACCTCAAGCAGCATACAGGGTGGAGGGTGTCTCACACACAAAGCCTTCCTGCTGAGGGGTTTTTGGGATAGGAGGGAGGCAGCTGTCTGCAGCCAGGACAGTATTGCAAATGGCAAAGTGTCTCTTTGAGTGTGGGACACTGTCCCCTACAGCCAGCAAGCATGTGGTTCCAGATTTCCCTCCATCCTGCCAGGCTGTCCCATCATGTCCCATGCCAGCACAGAGGCAGATGCTTTCCAGGCTGTAGTAGCTGTGAGTTGTGCTGCGTGTCCCCCACCTTGGCAACCTCCCTTACACAATCCTCTTAAGTGCCTCACTCACCCCAAAGCTGCGGGAAGGTCCAGCACTGGGTGACACATGTGGAGGTGACTCCAAGGGTCAAGAGTCTCCAAGGGTTTTGCCGGGTCCAAGTTCAGCTCCCCACCACCCCCAGCCAAATGTGAGAGCAGTCCCCACCCCAGGGCTGTCTGCACCCTTCCTGCACCAGCACTGCTGGGGGGGGCTTAGGGTTAATGGGCACACTGGCTGGCATGAAAAGGGCTTTGCACTAATCAGTGCCATCCCAGCATGGCTGAGTAGTGGGGAGCAGTCCCCATCCCTATGGCATGAGGTGGGACCCTGATTTCAGCCACAGCTTCAGGCTGAGCCCCCAGTGAGCAGGCTGGCCTTGGGGCTGCCTGTTAAGTGGGGACAGCACAGAGCAGGAGCTGGCTAGAGCATTTGTAGCAAATAATCCAAAAAGGAGACTATCCACTGAAAATGCTGTTTTCCCCATTGTCCCCTCATCCCATCTCAACTCAGCTGGGACACAGCACAGGGGACATGGGGATGTGTGGCAGCCCCTGCATCTGTCTGCACCATCGAAGGGTGCCAGCCAGCCCAGTGTCCCAATGCTGCCAGTCCTGAGCCCTCAGAGGTGGCAAACTGGCATCCCCCAGTGTCCTGGGAAGGACTGGGGCACCTGGTAGCACCCAGCAGCTGAAACCACAGCTGGGGACACCACCACTGTCCTGCTGGTCCCCATGAGAGATGTGATGCGCTGATGGGGCTCCCTGGCCAGGGGGATGAGTGATCTCCCCTGGTTTATTTCACAAAGGCTCCCCGTGAAGCGGGTCAGCCTGCAGCTGCACCAGGCTGGGCTGCAGGCCCCTGGCAGGGCTGCAGCAGGATGGAGCCAGGCACGGCTGCGCCATGCACCGGCGGTTTGCTCTCCGCACCAGGCACCCCATGAAAGGCAGTCTGGGGCCGGGCTGCGGCCAGAGCCAGGCGGTATCCGATGGCAGCAAGGCCGAGTCGCACCGAGGAGTGTAACTGCCTCGGCAGGAGGAAACCAGAGAAGGCCAAGTATTTCTGCTGCCGTTTGCGGTGATGGGCCCCAGCAGGGGGAAGTCGGCAGAGCCGCCAGGGCCGGCACCCGAGCCAGGATGGAACCCGCTCCCTACGGATGGGCTCCCCCCACCAAGGCTTTCCTGCCTGCACCAACTTGTTTTGGCCAGTGGGAAAATGCCCACGGCTCTACTGAGCACCCCAGGGATGCAGGTGCCTGCCCAGATCTGGCTGCCCAGATCTTATGCTTATTGGTCCCAGCCAGCCCTGGGTGTTGTGCCCTCCAGGGGCCATGCTGCCAGCTTATTGGTCCCAAGAGCATCCCCTCCTTGGCAATGATCTTGGGACCAGTAAGCTGGCAGCATGGCCCTTGCAGGGCACAGCAGCTGGTGCTGGCTGCCTGGGACTGCCTGTTCTCCACTGTCCTTGCCTGGGCATGGCTGCCTGGGGACAGGCAGAGCTGGCACCCACCCCAGGGCTGGGAGTTGAAGGTTCCTGGAGCAGCCCCACATGGGGGCTGAGCACCCACAGGTTTCCCTGGGCTGGAGCTGATCCTCACCTGGGTGGGCAGTGGGGGGTGAGACCTTCCTGGAGCTCCATCTCCACCACCTGCCTGCTGCTGGTGGCCTTGGCTAGAGCTCCTCAAGCCAGGATATTCAGCCCAGGTGAATGCTCAGTGATACCTGGTGCAACCCCACAAGCCACAGGAAGCAGGCAGCTCCTGCAAGGGCCGTGTCTCATGCCAAGGACAGCCTGGGGTGGTCTACCCCAAAGCACGTCCCCAGACCATGCTCCTTCCTACCTTAGAACAACCACAGAGAGGCACAGCATCATCCTTATGGGCTGCGGCAAGACCAGCGGCAGGATCCAAGAAGCTGCTCACAGGCAGGAGCTGCTGCTGGACTCACCTGCCCCTTGCTCTATCCTGCTGTCCCAGAGCCACCACCAGCAGCAGGTCCAGGGGACCTGGAAGCACCGGGCTCAGCCCTGGGGAACGGCGGGTCCTCCTGGCACTGCTGTGGGGTCTATCACCCCTAGTCCCTTTGGCTGTGGCAGCTTACCTGGGAGCTTAGGAGCTTTGATGGGATACCCCAGGGGGACACCGGGCTGCTGACCTCCAAAACCTCCTAGTCCTGCAAAGCCAACAGCAGACTCTCACCTGGAGCCCGCACCAGTCACTGCAAGAGGGGAGTGCCCCAGGCACCCTTGGAGAGGAGAGCGGGTGGCTCAGGAAGCCCTGAGGCATCTTCTGGCATGGGGAGGCCATGGCTGTGATGAATAGGCTTGGGAAGGAAGAGAAGGATAGGAGAGACAGACGGGACACTCACCAGGGATTCCTGCAAAGGCTCCTGCTCCTAGGCAGAAACACAAAAGCACCCATGTAAGCATCTGGGCTGTTCCTTGTGGTCCAAACTAGTCTGCATGGGTTACATAGGCTCAGCCAAAGGTTGGCTTCATTTGCCCACGTGCCCTGTGGGGCTGTGACCCAAATGATGGGCTGGAGCCAGCCCTGGCAGGATGGGGATGAAGGCAGAGCTGGAGCCAGCCCTGAACCCCCCCTCCACCCCAGTGTCCCCAGGCGGTCTAGGGAACTTACCTGGACCTTTTGGCTTGACTCCAGCACCAGTGGGTACCCCGGGCAGCACCCCAACGCCAGGGAAGCGGATGCCTGTGGCAGAGACCAGAGAGCATTGCTCATACCCAAGACCTCTCCCCCCAGCTCCCAAACCCTTGCTACTCATCCACTGGCTCAGCACCAACCCTTGTACCCTGAGACAGGGCACCCCCATACACTAAGGGCTTGCTGCACCCCCCGTGCCAGCCGCGGGGCAGAGCTGCCAAGGAAGGGTTTGCTCCAGCCCTGGTGTTGCCTTTCCTCTGTGGGGCCAGGCTGCCTGGACAGGAGCTCAAGGTGCCTGCAGGGTACATGGCACCTGTGAGAAGGTCCCACTCATGACAGCAAAGCACTAGCCCATGCCGTGGTATAGCCAAGCCTGGGCATTGCTCACTGCCCAGTGATTTGCAGTGCCTTTGTGCAAGCTGGAGCTCTTTGGGGAGCAGGAAGCCCCAGCCCTCCAGGGGCAACAGGCAGTGCTTTGGCCTTGCAGTCACTTGGGTTGGGGTTTGGGCTTTGGGGTTTGTTTTTTTTTTGTTGGTGGTGTGTGTTTGTTTTTTTCCCCCCTTTCACAAATGTCTTTCATTATAACTCTTGCATTTTCAGACATGGAAAAGACATTCCTGACCAGCAACACAGTTCTTCTGACAATGCTGAAACATCTTGTTTTCACAAGTTTTCCTCCCTCAAATTACTTTGCAGTGAGGAATTCCTCCTCCTCCTCCCCCTACTTCCCCCTTCTTTCCACACAGTCTTTGGCTGGGCAAGCCAGTCCTGGCATGGCCTGTGCCTGCTCCTCTCCTGGTGCTGATGCCACCTGCTCCCATGGAGCTTGACACGAGACCCCTGGAGATGCTGGGTTCCCCCGCCTTTGGCATGGTGGAAATGTCACTATGGCCCCGGCGAAAGGGTTTGGAAAATACAGGCAGCAGTGATGGGGCAGGGAGGGAGTTCAGCATGCAGGCAGCAAGGGGCTGCAGGAAGCCTGCTGCCGGGCAGGCAGGGGATGTGCTGCAATGGCCATCTGGCCACAAGGCTGTCGACTCAAACAGGAAGGCTGGCACTAGATGGGGACCCCCTCGGGGGTTGGGGTGCTGCTCACCTGCGCCAGGGAGCACACCGCCTGGGAAAGCTCCAGGAATCCCAGCGCCTGCCAGGCAAGAGAAAGGCAGCAATGAGCACCAGGCAGGAGCCATTCCCCCCCCCCCCCCAGCCCCCAGCTCTGGGGCCATGCACCTACCTGGTACTTTCGGGGGTTTCACTGCTGCACCAACCCCAGGCTGCACCACGCCAGGGACCACTGCACCTGCAGGCAGCAGACATCCCCTGAGCCCCTCATCTGCTCCTGCACACCATGGCAGGCATGGGGACAGGTCTGCCCCAGGCTCAGTTATGCTTGGGATGAGGGGTGTTTCCTTACCTGTAGAGACCCCGAGGCCACCAGGACCACCAACTCCAGCCACGCCCCCAATGCCAGCACCTGGGGGCATTGGGAAAAGGAAGGAACCGGTGTGAGATGCCACTGCTGGGCTACGGGTGGCCGGAGTGATGCCAAAGGAAAGAACAAGCGAAAGGCAGCTCTTGGGAGACAAAGGGGATACTCTAAGGCAGTACCAGGGATGAGTCCCCTAGAGCTGGGCACAAGGACCCAGTGGCTTGGTGGTCTCTGCTCCTTGGGGCTTGGGTTTGGCCAATACCCCTTTGCCAGCACACCAACATGTACAGAGTGCCTCTCAACTATCAGGGATCCCCAGAAGACCAGCACCTCCCACTTGCATCCCCCCAGCTCCACAGGGAAAGCTTTTCCAACCCAGGATCTCAGGGGATACCAGGAGCCCCAGCGTCTCCTTGCCTGGCATTGTTGGGCACCCCCAGCACTCACCAGCTTTCGCAGCTGCCTTGAGTGCAGCTGCAGAGGCAGCACCAGGGAAGGCTGCCCCAGGGAAGGCACCTCCGGGGAAGACACCTGCAGCACCTGCAGGGAGAATAACCAGCATGAGGATCCCCAGAGAGCAGGGGAGTGTCCTGGTCCTGCCCTCCATGCTTGCCACAATGGGCAAAGGAGGTGATGAGCCATGCAGGGCTGCAGGGTGATACCAGGGGCTGGAGTGAGGCTGGGCAAGGTGGTGGTTAGCAGGCACTGCCCTGTCCTGCACCAGCTTCTCCCTGCATCCCCCCCAAACACATGCTCTCATTGGCATCCCACCCATCAGCAGCTCTGCCAGCCACCCAGGGCACACAGCAGTGTCACTGGCTGCTGCACACACCAAGGTCCCCTGCTGTGGGTCCTTCCTCAGCTGTCACTGATTGGGGTCACCCTGCCATGGATCAATGCCATGATGCTGTGGGACCACAGGGATGCCTGTTGGGGGCTGCCAGTCCCTCAGGTCTGTGCAGAGCACCCAGCCCAGACAAGACCCACCAGGGCACCAAGGGAGTGCACTGTACTGGGACAAAGCCCCTTGCTGTCTCCAGGGTGGGTCTGTGGGGACATCACCCAGGAACAGTCTGGAAAAGGGTGGCCGGTGGTCAGTGCTCACCTGGTTGTAGGCCGAGTGGGCCAAGTCCCCCAAGGCCTCCGACCCCTGGGAAGAGAAGTGGGGTGAGCTGTGGGGAACGGCCAGGGCCAGAGGAGCAGAAACGTCCCATTGCCCCATCCCCGCAGGATGAGAGTGTGCGCCAGGGATGGGCACCAGGACAGGTGGCAAATGTGCTGCCAGTATCTGGGCTCCCCATCCCATCACTTTCTGCCTTGCCTGCCCCCGCCCCACCAGGCCACGAGGGGATGGAGCTGAAATGTTCATGGCTGAGGAACGAGTCCCTCCGTCTCCGGTCTGCGGCCAGCGCTGCCTTCCAACATCTGGGGCTAATCAAGCCCTCGTTCCCTCTAGGCGCAAATTCCAGTGCCTTTGGCTCGGGGCGCGGACACTGCGCGGCTGGGGCTGGGTCTTCGCGGCCGCCCCACATTTGGTTTTAATTATGCTGAAATAAAGGGCCTTGTTTTCCTTTCCATGAGCTGAAATCTGAGCAAATGGAGGTTGTGGCCCCCGCCTCGGGCTGGCGCTCCCACCCTGCAGACTGGCCAGCGCAGGAGCCGGGGGCTCAGTGTGCCCCTGCGCACCCCTGCCTGGGCAGGCAGAGCTTTGGTGGGTGAGGCGCTGGCACAGGGTGCCCAGAGAAGCTGTGGCTGCCCCATCCCTGGCAGTGCTCAAGGCCAGGTTGGACACAGGGGCTTGGAGCAAGCTGCTCCAGTGGAAGGGGTCCCTGCCCGTGGCAGGGGTTGGGACTGGATGAGCTTTAAGGTCCCTTCCAGTGCAAACCAGTCTGGGATTCTATGATACTGTGATCTCTTCCTGGGTCTTGATGAGCACCGGGTACCTCCATTGGCACCACCTTTGCCCCTTCACATTCAGCACCTGTTGCAGCACTTCCTCACCATGCCTCAGGCTCTGTGCCCTCAGGCTGTGCATCCTCCTGCCTCTCTGCTCACTCTCCTGGTGATGCACCCTCTCACCCCGTTACTCCTAGCTCAGTGAAACCCCAGCATGGGCTGCGGGAGGCGCAGCAGAAGCTACTTGGCCACAAAGAGCAGAGCTGCCAGCTTCCCACTGGCACTGCGCCTGGCAGGGCAGGGCAAGCATTAGCTGGCATCTTCCCGAGGAGCTTTGGCAGAGGTTTGCAAGCAGCAAGAACCCTGAAAAGGTGGCCTGGAGAAGCGGGAGGGGACAGGGTAGTGTGCCAAAGCAGCGTACAAGGAGGAAGACTGGGACTTGGCAGGGGTCAGTGTAACAGGGCAGGGCAGAAAGTACTGCGTGCCTTGGCCATGGATGTCCCCAGGGTCAGGGGGTCCCTTGGGTATGTGAAATAAGCATGAAGGCAACAGGGGTCAGGAAATATCTTGTCCCCTGGCATGGCTGGCGATGGTGAGAGCACCAGGGAAAGGCTTCTTACCTGGTTTGAGAGGTTTTCCTGCAGCTCCGAGTCCTAGGGGAGAGCGAGTGGAGAGGGATCAGATCCATCCTTCCTCCAAGCATCCCCCAAAGGGGGGATATGGTGCAGGATGGGAATGCCCTTCCCCTCACAAGCAGCTTTGCTGGGGATCCCCATCCCAACACCCCCATGGACAAAGCGGTGCCAGGACTCACCTGCTCCCAAACCTCCAACCCCAGCACCTGCAAGCAGCAACAGTATTAGCACCCATCCCAGTGAGCACCCCCCACTCACCCACCCACCCATGCCAGGCTACCCGGCGTGTCCATGGGGAAACAGAGAGGGTCACAAGGGTGCCAGGGGATAGGGCATCCCCCTGGGATGTCCCCAGGTTTTTGGAGGAAACAATGGGGACAGGCTGTGACCTCTGAGCAACTCCTGTGGCCAGGGCTGGGCAGGCTGTAAGTGCCAGTCCTGGGCAGCGGGCACTGCCACCCTGCCCTGTCCCTGTGCTGTGAGGCTGGCAGTGAGGAAGCCACCCAGTGCTGAGCAGCCGTACAGGTTGTCCACATGTCCCCTGCTCCCAGTTGGCAGCTCCCCAGCCCTCTGTGCTGGCTCACGGGCACGAAGGGCTCCCCAGGCACCTGCCCTATCCCTGCAAGCATGGTGATACCCTCCCCCCCCCCCCCCCCCCGGACCCTCTTACCTGGGAAAAAGCCTCCTCCGGGAACTCCCCCTCCTGGGATAGCACCAGGGACCCCTGCAAGAGAAGAGACCCTCATTAAAATCCCCCCAGGGATCCAGGTCTGGCTGTTGGGGGGGGGGGAGAACTTCCTTGGATGGGGAGATGCTCCCTGCAGATGAGGTGGGAAGCAGAGCCCCAGAGCAGGCCCCTGCCTGTGCTTGTACACCTCAGTTTCCCCACTGTGACAGCGGTGACAGGGTTTGGAGGCACCCCAGCCAGGAGCCGGGGAGGGCATCCTGGTGGAGGTGGCAGCAGGTCCTGTACGGGAAGGAAGGACATGGGGCTGCTGTGAAGCAGTTCTGGTTGGTGTCCATCTCTGCTGTCCCGTACCACAGCCACTGCTGTCTCCATCATCTCCGGCTCCACATGGCTCTGGGGTGCCTGTCCAGCCATGTCATGGTGGTGTGGGGCTGTCCCTGTTCAACCCTGCAGGCCATGCTGATTCCAGCCAAGCCTGGCTGTGGCTGCCGATGCCCATGCTGCCTGCCCTGCCTTGCCCTCTTTGCTGCCAGTGGAAGAGCCAGCTCAGGCACAGTACTGAGGTGCTGGACTTGGGGGGACAGTGGCATGATCCACTGAAACCACCTGCACCCCTGTGCCCACCTCTGCGAAGCTGAGCTGAGCATTTAACCACCCACACCCCATCGCTTTCCAGGGCATGGGGAGCCCGTGCTCAGGCAACCCCCCCAGTGCTGTCCATCTGGTTTGGACTCTGGCAAAGGGCTGTGTCCTGCAGACCATCAGGCAGCGGGCCCATGGGTGGTCACTCTGCTCCATCAAGGCCATGGCTAGGGCCTGCAGGTGGGTTGGGGGCACAGGGAGGTTGCAGTGCAGGGGGATGCTCCACTTTTGGCTGGAGCATGTTTTTGGCACTGGGGCAGCTGCCATGGGGTTTGCAGTGGGATTTGCAGCGAGGATGGCAGGAGGATCTGGGGGTTGCTGGAGGCAAGAGCAGGGCTGCCATGGCCAGCATCCCTGCGGCAAAGCTGAACTCAGCTCTGGGCAGAGGGGATGGATTTCAGGCTGGATGGCACTGTGGACCCTGCAGTGACATGGCTGGGACCTGAGGACCTGCTGTCCTGCTCCAAGGCTACAGTGGCCTCCCAAGCACCCCAGGAGCTGGGTGCATGCACCACAAGCTGCACAGTACCCAGGGACAGCACAGACAGGTGTCAGGTAGAGCTGGCAGCCATGGTGAGAGGTACACTGTGCTGCACATCTCCGTTTCAGATGAGGTGCAAACTCGGGGGGTCCCCCTTCATTGTGCCCATAGCCCCCTGCTTCACCCCAACAGCTGCCTGCTGTGACACAGCAGGGATGAGGGTGTCCCCTGAACCCTGCTCACATGTCCCCAGGGCATGTAGGACAGACACCTCAGCCCAGCCACACAGAGAGAGCAGGCACCGGGATGCACCCACATGTGTGTCAGGACACACACGTGCGCAAAGGGGGTGCTAGACTGTGCACACGCAGGAGATGTCAGGACACACGCACCAGCAGGCATGCACCTACCAACCCACTGGGACACAAACGGAGGACCTGTGCCAAGCCCTGTCACACGGTACTGTGCCCCCCAAAACCACCCCCAGGGCCCTGCCGGGGCTGGGGGACAAATCGGGCCCTGGAGCAGCTGATGTCTCTTGGAACGGTGGGGACATGCACTGGGCCATCGCTCCAGCCGCTCCTGCCTCTGGCATGGCCCAGCCCAGCCCAGCCCAGCTGCCAGCCAGGGGTTTTGGAGCCGCTCTTTTCCCTGCACACTCCCCTGTCCGCAACCACCACAACCCCCCCCCCCCCCCCAGCTTGGAAAAATAAAACCCAGCCTCTTGCCTGTTTCTAAACAGACTCCAAGCACCCACACACCGCCTGCCCCCCACCACCCGCCTGCTGCATCCAGCCAAGATTCATCTGGGTACCCCCATGCCCGGGGCTAGTGACCATCCCCCACCAAGCAGGAGGGTCCCTGCAGTGCTCAGCCCCAGGGTGATGCCTCAGACCCCATGGCCAAGGTAAGGTCCCTTGTTGCTGGGTGATGCTAAAGCACCCGGGGACCTGGGCTGAGCTCTCCTACCCCTGGGGAAGCTGGGACAAGGCTGGATGGCTCACAGCCTTCCTGGGGTGCTTGGAGACCCCTGCCCACAGCCATGCTGCTATTCCCCACCCTTCAGCATTGTTACCCTCCTGTGGACCCTGAACGGGAGGTCCTGCTCCCCCCAGACACCATACCATGGCCAAGGCACTGTGCTCATCCCAGTGGCTCACAGCAGGTCTGCACCTTCTGGAGGATTACAGGGGATGTGCCAGTTTATCAACCCTCTCCATGCCCACATCAGTAGGTGGAGGATGTCAGCAGGTGGCAGGAGCCTGGATGGCTGGGGACAGCAGAACAGCAGAAACGGGGATGCCATGAGACTTTGGGGAGCCAAGGCTTTCACTCAGGAGCATTGCAAGAGGCTACTCCCCCCTGGCTGCTCTCTCTGACCGCTCTGGTGCCAAACACAGCCTGCTCTGCACTTCTCTTGAAGCCCTTTTCTGAACTGTGCTGGTGCTGGCAGAGCTGTGCTCATCCCAGTGGGAAGGCAGTGCCCATAACCCCAGCACAGCATGCCCCTCTTTGACCTCTCCATCCTGCGTTCCTCTGGCACGTTGGGAAGAGCAAACTGAGTCACCAGCCCCTCAGTACAGGAGGAGCTCTGTGCTGCCTCTGCCCCTGGTCCCAGCCTGCTGGGACCCCAGGAAGTGGGGTTTCTCCTATCTCGCAGCTTGTCTCTGAGGCGAGGCTGGTTGTAAGCCTGCAGAGCACTGGGCTGGCCCCCAGCACCCGCCCAGCAGATACGCTCTCAAGCCAGTGTCATCTGTACCATTTCTACCTGCACCACTGATTGCAGCTTTCTTTACAAGCCACAAGTACAGATGTTTTCTCTATTCTACAGCTTTCATGATCAAGACCAGGCTGGAGCATCCACCCCAGGACGTGAGCTCGCACCCTCACTGTGCAGCCAAACCTTGTACTTCGCCACCCTTCCCGTGTCTGCGGGCTCCTGGGGCAGGCTCAGCACACAACCTCCACTGATATTTCATGGGATTTCCATAGCATTTCTCCTCTTTCCTCACAACACTGCTTGCTGTTTCTTGGGAAAATGGGTTTTGGAAATATGCAGTGTCCAAGCAATGCTGAAGCTGCACTACGTCCTGGCCCCAGCTTGATGGCAGCAGCTCGGGAAGAGCAGGGAGGCTGCTGCCAACAGCCTAGCTCCAATGCAGCCCCCTGAGACTCCAGCTTTCATCTCAGAGTGCTGGCAGACAAGCTGCACCCTGCAAGTTGTTTGCAGAGCAAGTAGCCCCAGTAGGATGGTGCCTTGGGGAGGTGCCTGGCTGGGACGGGGAAATACCACCCCAGTCCCACATCTGGCCCTGGGGCACCCTGGGCACCCTGGGTGTCCCCATGGTACCCAGGCTGGGATGCCAGTACTCTGCACCTACCCAAACTTCCCCCTGTGGTCCCAGAGAACTGCAGGGCTGGGAGTCCTCTTGGTTCCTTCTGCCCTGTACTCCACCATGGGAAGCAATAAGGGATGGATGGATGGATGGATGGATGGATGGATGGATGGATGGATGGATGGAAGCAAGCACTTTGGGACAGGTACCCCGCTCCAAATGCTGGGACACACTGCACTTGACAACTTTAGGGAAACACACAGCAGGTTCCCCATGGGATCCAGCCATACACCTCCCCAGGGTGCACAGTGCAACTCTGCTGTCAGGGTGCAGAGCAGCAGGGGATGATTCTGACCTGCTACTGGGAGTTTCCCAAGTACCACCATCTGCTGCAAGCCTGGGACTCGGCTCCTCAGCACTGCTTTGAGTGTAGACAGGGCTTCCCCTTTTCCCCTTGACCCTGGGATCTCTCAAGTGTCCCTCTCCGGCCAGGCTGGTTTGGAGCCACAATGGCAGTGGGTGCTGGAGGATGCTGCTGGTTGGTAGCCCCCCCCCACACTGTGCCACTGACTGTGCCTCTGTCCCAGCACAGTTCACAAGGGCTGGCAGGGCAAAGGGTGTGTCTGAACCTGCCTGGTGCCACACAGCACACCAAGCTGCAGAGACACTGCTCATTCCTCTATGGGGAAGCATCCTCCGGTGTCCCCACCAGCACCGGGCCATGGCTATCTCCTCTATGAGCTACTTCCCAAACCAGCAGACACCTCTGGAGGCTGAGTCACAGTCAACAATCACAAACTGCTCAGAAACTGCTGCAGGATGTCACCAGGGGACCAATGTCCTCCACAGACAGTCCCAGCTGGCCACTGCTTGAGACCTGGGGCACAAAGCCACTGTAGCAGCAAGCAGCATGGAGCATCACTGCTGATGTTGGAGAGTGCCCACTACTGAGCTGCATCCCATCAAGCACCTTGACCCTGAGCAGCAGTTACCCAGGATCAGTCAGTGACAGTGGCTCAGCTTTACAGGTGCTGTATGGCTGGGCACCCCTCTGGTTCGTGCTCCCTGCACAGCCAGAGGCAGACCAGCCCGTGGCTGGAGTCCACCACCAAACCAGGGCAGAGCAGGGAGCTGCAGGGCTCGGGCAGATGGAGCTGCTGCCTGCAGACCCCTAAGTGCTCTGCCTGTGGCGAGGGGTGGCCCAGGCTGCAGCTGCCCAATGCCATACACAGCCCTGGCACTGCCCTCCCCTGACCACCAGGTCCTGACCTGTCCTCTCCTCTGGTCCTCAGTCCTCTCTGGTCAAGAAGCCTCATGCAGCAACTTTGGCGCTGACACCATCACTGATGGTGGCTCTGCCCATCACAGAGTCTCCACAGTGCGACGCAGGAGAGGTCTCCAGAGGGGGCTGTCCCATACCTAACCAGGCTGTCCTCACCTCGCAGCCGGCTGAAACTCAGTGCTCAGAGCTACTCGCTGTGCATGTCATGGCCTGACCACGAGACACAAGTGTCCGTCTATCCAGCCAGCACCTGCTGTGCTGGCAGCTCCGGCTGCATCCGACAGCGTGGTGGGGTGTGCAGTCCACGCCGGCTTTCCCTCTCTGCACCAGCAGCGTGTTTGCTGCACGTGCATGCGCATGTGCTGGGGTGCTGCACAGCCCCTGTTCAACCAAGGCACCAGCCAGTGAGCCATGACCTGTGCAACGCACGGGTGGATGGAGCCAACGCTGGTGATACAGTGCAAGGGGACACCCCTGGCACTCAGAGCCCGGGTTCAGGCAAGCCCTCTGCGGCTGCACCAGCCAAGCCAGCTGTGCAAGCAGCCACACACTGCACAGCAGCTCGCCCGCGTCAGCTGCGGGATGCAACACGCTGACCCCCCCTGCCCCTCCAGCTCACAACATCACACCGGGTGGGTGACCGGTGCCAGCTCCCCTGGGCCCCTCGCACTTGTGAGCCCCATGGGCGCTTAGAGAACACCCTTGGCTGCCCTGCTCTGCGCCCTGCCTGGGGGTCCCTGAGCCTCATGGATCTCTTGAGTTTCTTGTACCCCCGAGCCTCTCGTGCCCCCAGGGGCTCTCACTAGGACATAGAACCTCGCAGCCTTCTCCCAACAAGTGCTTGCGCAGTGATGCCATTCCTGGGCTGCCCCGCCACCATCCCTGGGGACATTCTGCCCCACCCGGGTGCGTTGGGGGGCAGAAAGTCCTCGAGGAGGTGGCCAGGGCAGGGCAGGGGGCACTTGTCCCTGCTTGGGGACACGCACCCGGGGCAGGAGGGGGCTGCCTGGGGGGGCCGTAGGAGGCAGCAGCCGAGGAGGGTCCGTGCAGAGGGAGAGTAAAGCGGGAGCTGGGAAAAGGGGAAGGAGTCTTGTCTTTCCTTACCTCCTTGCTGGGAAGCCGGGAGGATGGAGAAGAGGAGGAGGACTCCGGGAAGGAGGGGTACAGCTGCCTGCCTTGCCATCTCTTGAAGCAATGCCCTCGTGCTCCCGCAGGCTGTGTATTTTATCGCAGAGCTGCTTAATTGTTGCTTCCAAGGATGTGAGGGGAAGAGGAGGGGGGAGTGTGTGTAAGGAGGGAGGGGAAAAGGAGAGGGAGACGGGGGGAGAGAGGCACAGGACACTACGTCATGAGGAAAGGGCAAACACACACCAGCCTCTCCAGCCGATTGGACTGGCTCAGGTTTTTTTCCCTTTTTCCTTTTTCTTTTTCTTTTTTTTTTTTTTTCTTCTTCGTTTAATTTCTCTCTCCAATCTGAGGTCGCCTCTGCCAAAAAAGCTGGAATGGGGGGAGCTGCCAAGGCAGCCTGCGGGGGGCGGGGCCGGGGAGCGGGAATGGGGCGCTGCGCCCACGCCGATGGGACACTCCGTCCCCGGTGGTACCGGGGAGGTAGCGCTCCGGATGTGTGTCCCACACCGGGGGGTCACATCCCGGGTGGCACCGAGCGGAAGGGGGTGAGAAGGAACGGGGATGTCCGGAGAGCAGGCAGGTGCTAAGGGGGAGCCGCTCCACCCGGGGAGTGGGGGAAGGAACGGTCCCGGTGCCGGTGCCGGTGCCCGGCGCAGCGGGGCAGTACCGGCTACGGCCGTTAGGTGGCGCGAGCGGGGTATGCCTGCGGGAACCGGCCGGTCCGCGAGAAAAGCTGCGGCTGGGGCCCGGGAGCGTGAGTCCGCGTCCCGGCCCCGACCCTGGGGTGTCCTGGGGACACGCAGCGCCCACCACCGCGTCCCCTGGCCACCTCCAGAGCCCGGGGAGTTTCCTGTAGCCGTGCGGGGCTGTTCCACTCTCTCCAGCACCAGTTCATCTGGGGCCGCAGGGGCTCCAACCCCCTGTCAGCTCTGGGTGCAGAACCAGATGCTGGTGCAAATTTAGGCTCCGTGCGTCCCCACAGGCCACCTCGTCCCCCTTCCCACCGGGTGTCCCTGGACAAGTGCCGGTGAGCTGCTGGAGCAGGCAGTGCGTTAAACGGGGGAGGTATGGGGGTGGGGAGTGGGGTGTGTGGAAAGGAGAAGCAAGAACAAAATACCCTTGTCACTGCGGCACTGCCATGCTCCGGCGCTGCAGCCCATCACTTCAGGTCTGACATGGGGGATTCCACTCTGCCAGGCACCAAGTCACTGCTCATCCCAGTGCTCTGTTCCTGTGAGCCCCGGCCCACTACCCAAGGAATGAGATCACATGCAAGGACATGCACTATCGGAACCCCCTTTCCGTGAGCAGCTCCCCCCATGCTCCTTCTGTGGCTACAGAAATCAGCAGCAGATTATCCGCAAATCCACCCAGTCAGTTCCTCTCTGCCTGCAAGAGAGGTCCCAAACCTGAATGCTCACTTAAAGAAGTGTGAGCTAAATCCATGCTCAGGACGGTCCTTTCGGAGCCTGGCTGTCTGGTTTGTCTCAGCTCCCACTTTATTTTAGGGAAAGTGTCAGTGGCTACAGAGCAGGAAATCTGGGAGGTGGAAATCACAGTTTTGCCCTCTGCACTCAGCGCTGGGACACATTAAAGAGATGGAGGGGGCACTGAGCTCCTCAGTAGGCTTTTTGCGTGGATGCTGATTTTCTGTTCACCTGCATCCTTGCAAAAGACTGAGGGCTGTGGGGCACAGAGCACCCCCGCGTGTGGAGAGGGGGTGAGCATCATCAGGGCAGAGCAGCCGAGCTGGCCCATCTGCCCAGCCGGCATTGCTGAATGACGTAATGCTTGAGCAAAAACACACGCAGTCATTAAACACAAGCTCTGTGCTTGAGAGGAGCGATGTGGGAGCGGGTGGATGAAGGCTCCAGCAGCTTTGCAGCAGTTCCAGAGGCCTCAGGGCCATGCTGTGGCCCGCGGGATGCAGACCCCCAGTCAGGTCTGGCTGGGTGTCCAGGCAATGCATCCTCAATGCTTGTGTCTGCAAAACATGCAGAGGGCAGGGCTGGGAAAATGACCTTGCTGGGAATCATAACGGGCAGCTGACTGTCCCTAGCAGCTTCTGCCCCTTGCCAGAGAAATGGCTCTGACTTGTGAAAGCATGTTTTGTACCTAGAAAGAATACATGTGAGGCAAGATCTCCCCACCCCTGGCACTTGCGGCGGGGAACGGGATCCAAGCCCTTTGTGATTTGGCCAGGGCAGAGCCAAGCTCTTCATGAGCTGCCCATGGGAAAGGGCTGGAAGCATTCCCCGAAGTTTGCAAAGTGTTGGGGAAAAGCTGTGCTATTTGGCCGGTGCTGGGAAGGCACGGATCTGGGTAAGGCCTGACAAGAAAGGGAGAAGGTAGAAAATGGGGGCCCTGTGCGTTTGCTGCACAGTGCAATACTGAGGTGAGGAAACCCACAACGAGGGCAGGAGCGAGAGCAGCAGGGACTTACATCCAGCACCAGTGCAGAGGGTGGAAGGCCTGGGGGCTTTCCTGGAGGCTGTGGCAGCTCCATGGAGGAGGGTCTCAGCAGCCAGTCCCCAGCATGGCTCCCATTGTGGTGACTGGCAGGTGCAGGTCGCACACGGTTCCCCTCAATGCTGACATAGTTGCTGGGGGAGATGCCAAATACATACCCCCTGTGCCACACACACACACAGAGCTGTCCCAGGGGTATCACTCACACAGAAAACACACAAGTAAACACCCCTTTGCTATAGCTACGTGTCCCAGGCTGGGACCCCAACCCTGCCCCATGCGCTGTTGACAGCGTTGTCATAGGAGACCGACGCTAACAGGGTGTGATGGGGCTTCACGGTGCCTGTGCAGCAAGGGCTCAGAAGAAAGGTATGTGTGAGGGGCAGGTCACAGGGAGGGCACAGACTTGTCATGGTCTCAGGGAAGCTGAGGCTGCTCTGGGGGCTTGGTGACTGGGCAGCATGTGAGCTAAACTTCTCATGTCACCTGCTGTGCGAGTGCCTCCGGTTTGGCTACGGTGTGTCTTCCAGATAGGCTCACTCTTCATCTAAAGCACCAAGGGACAGGGAAGCTGCTCCTTCCCATGGTTGAACATCCTTATGTTTTCCTGCCTTGGTTCACCAGCGGTTCATTGTTAACTGACACATTATCACTCCTGTAGATGCTGCAGAAAAAAAGGACTGAAGAGGCTGTCTGAAATAGAGACCTCTGCAGGTCTGCCTGCTACAGCATCCCAGATAAATGCCTTCCAAGGCATGGGGTGGGGGAGAGGTAGGTTATGAGTCACAGATGGGGCTCATAGTACCTGGGAATCAAGTGAAGTCTCTTCTCAGTCTTACTTTTTGCAGGCAAAACCTTCAGGCTTGTCAAGTCCTGCACTCAGAGGCATTTTCACCATCTCTGTTGTTTCCATGGCTCCCTGCTGAGCTAGCTCTGACATTTGCAGCCAGGTCCAAGCAGTGGGTAGCAGCGAGGTGACGACCCAACACCCCAGCATGTGGCTGCGGCTGTAGCTCTGGTGTTTTCTTGCTAAAACTCTGGACAACCCCTTGGACAGTCCAACAGTGGGAGTCCAGGCTGGAGCATGTGCTTGGGCTGGTGCATGGTCGGAGCTCTGGAGCAGGGGAGCATCAACCCCCTGCTCATATCAACCACACAAGAGTCACAGCTTTGGTGTTGAGACAGGGCCGGATGGGTGGATGCTAAAACATTGAAAGGGTTTTTGAGGACTGCTGGGTCCTCTGTGCATGGTTGGCAGAGGGGGTCTCCATCCGTGCATCCCATTGCTCCAGCCATGCATGTTTCCTTGGACAAACATTGAACCGCCCTGCTTGCAGTCCATGCCACAGCTCCACAGGACATCCCTCTGGCAGCTGAGGCCGCCATTCTGTCCCTGGCACAAGGCTGGAAGCCACCACAGAAACCAGACTCAGCATCATGGTCAGGATCTTCTCAGCTGTCTCTGTGCACTTGGTGCTGGGATGCTTCTCGAAGCAGGAGGGGGGTTGGCAGCATTGCAGGAACTCTTTGGAGACCACAGGGGCTTAGGCAGCCTCTCCCGGCGAGCCACAGAGCACTGTCAGGTCCCATTGTACGTGTGTCTGTTGGGTTTGAGTGTGATCCCAGCTGTACCCCCTCCCAGTCTTAACTTTCCATCAGCTCTTCCTTCTCTGGCAGTCCCTTCTCCTGGTTGTTACGGGAAGAGGTTTTGCCAACACAAGGATGCTGCTCAGTGGGACCAGTGCTGGAGCTGCAGCCACATGCAGTGGTGGAATGCTCTTCTTGGCATGACTGACAGAAACAGTGTCATTGTTCCATGGACACAGAGGGACCTCAAGATCTCTGCGAATATTTGTCACTGGAGTCCCTTCAGGGAGAGAAGGGGTGACACCATCCCCAGCCCCTAGTTTATAGGCACCCAACCCGGTTTTCTGGTTTCTGCCATGCATGAGCCAGGTGGTGTTTGTGATGATGCCTTCTCTGCAGGCTTTGCCTTTCTTTCTCATCCTCTTCTCTTCCCTCCCTCTGCAGATAACCAGCTATCCTTGTTCTGAGGATACATGGATGTGCAGCATCTGTGAGGCTTGGATTCCGTCTTTGGCACAACCCTGGGACAGCAATGGTGGGATCTCCATCCGTGGACATGTTCAGAACATGTCTGGGCAAGGCCCTGAGCAGCCTGACCCAGCTTTGTAGTGCCAATTTGCTCAGGGGCTGGTCTGGACACCTACAGACATCCCTCCCAACCTAAATCCTTTCATAATTTATATCAAATTCTCTTTGGTATTTATGTAGTTCTGGGAAGCCTTCAGTGATGTGTCATTGAACCATTATAGCCTGGTGCTGGCCAAGGAGGGATTTAGTGGTCCTGACTGCATACATCTCATACATCTCATTCATGTTGCTCTTCTCAAGGACAGCTACTTGTCTGCTGCCCGTAGGTAACTCCAGGCTGTGCTGTTGTCCCACTCCCACCTTGGGTGTGAAACCCGTCCTCTGCCTGCATCCCTCTGTCCATTCCCACTGCCTTCAACTTTCAGTCACATCAGTCAAGAGTCTGTTTTTGTTCTCCAGACTGCTTGTGAGCATTCCAAGTGTTGATTAAAAGGTACCATCACTGCAAAATGTGCTGTTCCTGGATGGACATAGCTTTCAGCAACTGAAACTCAGTGTTTACAGGAATGC